TTAAAATAAGAAAAATAGTTCGAAACATTCTGAAAATAATAATAAAAAATATCAGTAGTATATCGCAATCTTCTCTATATGTATATTATATGATTTGCTATGTAAATTAAATTTATGCTATGGAAATTAACCTAATTCTGACTTCTCTTTCACTATTTGCTTTCTACTATATATTGCGCTATTTTTGTAAAATTCATAGCGAATACCATCACTTTCATCATTTACAATACTTTCAAAAATTATCTTCGCATATAATATAAAAAAAAAAACTATAGAAAGATATGGATTTAAAATTTAAAAAAATTATTAAAACGTTCGGTAATTAGAACGTTGAAAATAACAAGTACTAGGAAATAAAACGTAACTAAAAAGCCACAATTTTGAGTCATAGCGTGTTCTTATGATGAGAAACACAATGGACACTTTATAGCCTAGCAACAGCGAATCTACCTGCGTGTATAACCGTTTTAGATGTAAGGGGTTCCATTGTGAAACCACTTCTCTCGACCTGCCTGCTGTTACTCGTTTGTTGGGAAAAGATACTCTCCGTATTTTTTTTTCTTCCCCCTCTTTCAATTTTCTATTTTATAAGTTTTGTTTTTATTTTGTTTCGTTTCAAAAGCTCGCAAGATCTTCGTAAATTTACTTCTCTATTTACTTTCATTTTTAACGTATATGATAATTATTAAATTTTGGCAAATGACATGAGTTCTATATACAAAGTGATAATACATAACTTCTTATTATTACTAATCGACTTCCAATATATAGCATATCATTTTCTACTTTTACTATTATTATTAATTTTCCTTTTTTTTCTGTCATTTAAAAATATACGACAGAGAATCGATCAATGCCATATAATTACGCGGTATAATAGAATGATTATTTTTGACATAATGCTCTATATTAATATCCACTCATTCTCTTATGTTTACTAGTAAGAATATCTTTTCTATATTCTCAATCTGCAAAATGCGTTTAACAATTTTAAAAATAATGCTCCACGATATCTATCAATGCCCCCAGTAATACTACATAGCAATATAATAAAATATTTATCATATAATTTTAATCTGTCATATGTATCAATAATAATCTGTCATATAATATAATAATATCTATCTACGTTCATTAAATGTGCCTATGAATGCCTACTATTACTATTACTATTACTAATACCCATTAAGCCTATAAACAATATTTACTAATTTTAAAAAAATAATACTTACTGAAACGAAAACAAGTTTTGTGTGTATGCGTATGTAAACTTGATTTTGTATAACACATATTCTGTATATCCTTAACGGCTTATTTCTCAGATATTTATTTCAATCAAGAGTATCTCACAACACATCTTCCAACTCTCTTTTTTCAAATATGAACACTTTCCATTATGAGAGTTATGCCAAGAAGCTAGATTTTATTGATAAAAGAATGTATGACACTTGCATAATTATATAATTGGATAGTGAAAAATACAGCCAAACGGTAACAACAAAATCGGGGTAAGAATTTGATCAAAAGTCTGGTTTAGTGCTCGGTTTATATCCGCACCTGTCCATGATTCAAAATCGTTATGCCGCATGTTGCTGCAGACGAGGAAAGGTGGTCGAGGAGCACCCATATTCCAGATGGTGAGACCCAAGACCAGTTCTTAGCATCGTCAACGATTCGCTTCAAAGTAAATTTTCTTCCCAATAAAGCGCTCGTTTTATTCCATTCCCTTTTCTTTTTAATTTTTTTTTAAATTACAAAATTTTTAATTTTTTTTTTTAAATTTAGAATTAAAAAAATTTTTTTCTAAATTTTGATCAATACAACTACAAACAATCGAATGCTACGTTTCTTAACTTTTTAATTATAGTAAAAATAGAACAAAATACTCTCTTGGATATGACAATATGTTATCGCGTTATCTCGTTGCTCTTTCCTTCCTCACGTTATTTTCTCACGAGAAATTCTACACTACATAAATGAATAATAAAAAAAAATTTTAATTCTTTCTTTTGACATTTCAAACGATTATTCCCTGTAATTAAAGCTCGGAATATATAAGTCCAATTTATATGTACTACATACGATAGAAATATCGCTTTTTATATTTAATTTTTTTTTAAGCGAATGCAGAGTTTAAATTTAAAAAACCTATATTCGTTGCATGTTACATGACATTTATTATAATTGACTAGATATTTCATACGATATAATACATTTTCTAACGTGCATAGCATAGTAGAACTAATACCCTATGACATTAACGGTGATAGTAAACAGCTCTCGTTATTTGCAATAAAATCTAATTCAAAACAGTTCGGAGAAGCAACTTCTGCTAAAGCAAGCTCGTTAGTTTTATGATTATATTTCGTGTAATATACAGTTACAGGTTTAATTTATGTCTCGCGCGTAGTATGTTTGTAAAATATTATTTAAGAAATGAACAGTTAATTTAGGAAGCAGATAATATTTGGTAAAAGAGTAAGTTCCAATTCTTACGCTATATTGCTATGACGTAACTGAGTTATTTCTGGGTTTTTATTACCTCCTTTGACTTCTACGCACATACACGCGCGCGCGCGCGACACACACATGTTGATAAAAATATTTTCGGTATAATCAAATTATTTGATGACTTTTCGACATAATGTATGCAAAGTAATCTCATTTATCTACAGACTACGTATGTATTTGTCGGATAATAGCTGTGCGGTACACAATATTGAGAACAATAAAATCATCTATCTTTTGAAACACATCTATTATGAAACGGATCCAGTTCTTCGATAATAATCCTTTATATGAATGCCGTGTAATGGAATAATAAAACAAGAGACTGAATAATCATTTTAAAGAATACGTTCTCTAAAACTGCTAATTTTCATCGAACGACTAAACAAACATTAATGAATATTTATTAATCTGAATTTTAGGCGCGTATATAATAAAGGTGGAAGAACCAAAAAATTTTTTGGAATTTAAAAAGTAGTATTAGATTAGAATGTAATTAAAAAAAAATTATATTGAATGCGAACACTATGAACTGTATATAATCCTTAACAAATTATATACGTGGTATTATCACTTATTTATTAATAATTATTTTAATAAACTGTCTTGTTTTTACATTCTGCACGTTTTACAATCGATATATCTGTCAAAATAATTTGCTAAATCATAAACGTCAGTTTGTTAATCAGCGCGATATTCGAGGGTAAACATATTCATTTCCGGCATAATCGATATTATATAGCAAATTATAGAGCTGTGATCGATATTACTAAATCAATAAATAATTGCGAAACAAATTTAAATGACCAGTATATAAAATTTCGTATAATCACAAGTAAAATATTTGTGTTTTTTTGTTTTGCTGACTTTGCTGGAAACCGCAAGGACAAACCGCAAACTGCCTGAGAATTCAAAATTACTCCCGTTTCAATCTCGTTATGAGATAATGAAAATTTACCTATCTTTCTGTATTACTATATATATATTTGTGCTTCCATCACTATAAGCAAAATTTAATATAGTATACATTATTTTATATATATATATAATGGTTCTTATTTCAAATATGTTAGCATATATGAATTATATAAGAAAGAATACCACGTATGTAAATGGCAAATAATAGATAATGAATCATTTTTATAGAAACATGATTTTTTTTTTGAAATATGTGAAGTTGCTTCTAGTTTTGTCGTGTTGCCTATTGTATGTATGCTGTGTAATTACATTTGTATGTGTGTGTATTATTTTACGTAATGCTTACTATGTATATGTCTGATTACAATTATTTTTGTTCGTATATCAATTCGATTATTTCTTTGTTAAATCAATAAGAATATTTATATTGAAATAAAGAGAATATTTATTTTAAAATTTATGCGTTTTCTTGAACATGTGAAAAAATATTGTTTATTTCGATATGATTAAGATAACGCGAATTTGATTTGCATCAGCATTTGCGTTGCAAATTTATATTGCTGCAAGGACATTCCGAGTCGCATTATACATTATAGAACGGTAAATAGTCGCGCTAAGTTATACTAATTAAACCGTTTCCAACCAAGCAAGTCGCTTACAGGCACATATAAATATAATCTTTTTATTACATTTTGAATGCATCGTTAGATACTCTTATTTTATTTATTTCTTGGCGAACAATTCTGCGAGAATATTCAAATATATATGCGTATTATTTCAAGTACGCTTCGTCTAATTAACAAAAAATTATTGTAAATTACCTAACCGATGGTCTACTATTATTATCTATTATTAAGAATTAATGTGTTGTTATGCAATCTCGTGTCGCAAATCATTATTAATTACAATCGTTGGGGCAATTCATTATAATATACGCCTTGAAAGTATAAAGCGATTAAATATGCGACTTTAATTAGATAACAGAAAGATCTGTTCAACTTAAACTCGGTTGAAAAATATTTATGTTAGTCAAACAATAAATCAAGTGATTAAGCCTTAACTATTGTATATGTGTGCAATATATGTTCTAAAGTAAAAATTCGCGCAGTTTATTTCTATTATTAACGAGTGGCCATAACTTATTTAAAATGGAATAACGGATAAGAATCGTTCGTATAAATCATCTTCCATTGTTCATTTTCAATCATTTACAATGTATTCGATTTAATCGTCTACAAACCAATTAAATTATGTTGGAATTTACCATCATGTGAAAGCAAAAATGTCGATCGATAATGATGAAAAAATAAGAAAAATTTTTCGCAACCGTCTCGTACATTTGGGAAGTTCTGTACTGTCATTGCGTTTGACGTTAGATCCTTGAGATGGCGCCACGTGACGCAATGAGCAATCCGCTAATGCATAATTGCTAGAAAGATACGATTTGTACATAATGCGTCTCGCACAATATGTACACGTATAATGGACTCCCTTCGTCTTATAATGTTGTCCCATTTCAAATCATACAACACCAATCGTATTAACTAAAATCAATGTTAAAACGTATCACTTACCGGCGCAAAATCCGGCTCACGGCACGTGAGATATAACCTCGTTTACTCGCACTCACTAAACAAAGCAGTCAGAATCTCGAGAGGAGACGCGTTTAGGAGAAGCACACTTGAATCCGCGTATCCGTGGTAGATTAGAGAATTTCCTGATCGACATTTGATTCTTACGAGTATGTACGATCACAACACTGCGGATCACTCACTACTGAGCAATGAGACAGTGAGTAGTAGTAGTAAGGTTAGGGTAGCATGAGCACGCAATGTATATGTATATATGTGACACGACGCGGCACTACTTTTCGTTAGTCCGGGGAATGCACTCCGAAAACAACGATAAATAATAACGGTGACAAGACGGACGCGCACACTCCACACGATGGTCGGCGCGGCAATGATTCCGGGTACATTGGCTCGCTGCAGTCGGCGATGGTGGGGGGGACCCCAAGTTCCACGACGAGGGGGAAGACGGTACTACTACGCGAGTGTTGGTTGGAGGGATCGGTGGTGCGGTACAGAGAGGGAAAAAGAATACTTATAAGCGAGACTGTGAGAGAGGTAGGTAGCAGAGGAGATACATAGTAAAATGATGGCTGATTTGGAGGAAGGGGATATGTAGGATAGTTTCCAAGGGGGGCAGCAGAGCGAGCGTCTCGGAAGGTTGAGGCAAACGGCCATTTCTCATTTTTTTGAATAACACGTTTTCCATTTATGGACTAAACTGTTTAGTAACGTTGTAATTTCGTAACGTAATGATCTCTTCGAATCACGATAATTGAAGACGGAATAGGAAAAAGTCACGACGGATGTATCTAAGGTAAAAGAAGTAAATTTCGCTTGTTGTTCTTTTACACAGGGTGTCTATATATATATTCCCTGAAAAAAAAAAAAAAAAAAATGGAAAACCTGGATTTCTCAGGGATTTTTTTTGTACCCGGAGAAATCAGGAAGTTTTCATGGAATTTTATATTATATTTCAGGAATTTTTGTTTTTAATATTTTAACAAAATATTGAATATATGCAGTACATATATTCTTTATTGTAATTTTTAATCATTAGAATTTAGCAATAAAAACGCATGCAATAAAGAAAACTTATTTTAGAAAGTGCACTAAAAAATCTTTAAAATATTCTTTTTACCTGCAATTTTTGAACAAAAATATCTAGATAATCTGGGAAATTTTCAGAGAATTTTTTTTAAAGATTTGAGTAGACACCCTGTTAACAGTAAAGAATTTAATAGTAAAATATCATATATCTCGTAGTAATGTCAAAATTATATTACGTATTATATACAAAAATATATAAATATATAAAAAATTATACACATCTCGTAGTAATGCCAAAGTTATATCACGTGTTATAAAAATATATAAATACATAAAAAATTATATATAAATAGACCATTTCAAATCTTAAATTTTTTAATATATTCATATATTTTAAAGTTTATATTTATTACAATATATCTCATTGCGTTTCAATAATTGAAAAACACACGATATTAGAATGCGTGCCAGATATACGAAAATAAACGAAAGTGTAAAAAAGTTTTTAATACGTTTGCGCAATGTTACGAATTATTATCAACAAAAATATTTATCTCGAGCATAGCATGTCATACTATATATCGTGCTGTTCGTAAAAAATCTTCGTTGTAACTAACTGCTGGTAACGCGATCGCTTACGTCGATTAAGGCAACATGTGTTCGAGGAGTGTGTAAACATAGTCATCGAGTTTCAAGGTATAAGAGCGCAAACGCACTTTAATATTACTATATGTTATAAGAGTATAGCTCGTTTATCTTATAGTTCGTTAATACGAATACTTTATTTATATTTTTACTACAAGTTTACATTTTCTCATTAAAGAAAAATTCTTTACTTTGCCCACATATAAAACTTGATAGACATATAGTGTGTATCAAAAACATTCGCTATTGTTTCAAAAGTTTAATAGTTTAATGATGAGATGTGCGATAAAAATTTGATCATATTTCGATAATAGCTTTATTGATTTGCACTTAATAAATAAATGAGCGAAGAAAAAAATTAACGATAGTGAAAAGAAAATTTAATCTTGCCACAAACTATGAATTGTCACAAAAAATTAAATAAATCATAAAGATTATTCCTACATATATGCGACAGATGCATTTTATAAAAAAAATATGTTTTAACATTCAATAAGTATATATATTATTGTGCAGGATCTTTTTTTTAGATTATTAAAAAGGGAAAATTGAAATAGTATCAGCATAAGTTTTTATATGTGTGTGTGTGTGTTGTGTGTGTATGTGTGTATGCGTAATATATGCGTTTTATATAAATTGCAATTAGTTTTAAAATCATTCGACAAAAGCGATATGGAAATCGAATCGCGTTGAATTTCTCCCCCTCCAAAAAAAAATTAATTGAAAAGGAAAATATATACTGATAATGAAATAAAATAAGAAATTGTTATTAATAAATTACAATTTGAAAGATCCTTCAATAAAAGAAGAGACGAAGAATGGAAATATCTCTTCTCATCGCAGTTGTGACAGAGATATTTTACGAGATTCTTAAATTAGCTAGCTTATTTATTTATGGCTCCACACACATACACACACACACACACACACACACACACACACACACACACACACACACACACACACACACACACACACACACACACACACACACACACACACACACACACACACACACACACACACACACACACACACACACACACACACACACACACACACACACACACACACACACACACACACACACACACACACACACACACACACACACACACACACACACACACACACACACACACACACACACACACACACACACACACACACACACACACACACACACACACACACACACACACACACACACACACACACACACACACACACACACACACACACACACACACACACACACACACACACACACACACACACACACACACACACACACACACACACACACACACACACACACACACACACACACACACACACACACACACACACACACACACACACACACACACACACACACACACACACACACACACACACACACACACACACACACACACACACACACACACACACACACACACACACACACACACACACACACACACACACACACACACACACACACACACACATACATATACAGAAGAGTTTCAAGTTTGTTTTAGAAATACTCGATATCGTGTGAATACCTACATCTGTTAGCTTAGATAATGAGCTGAGACAGCACTCAGAGGGGAGGGAGGATGGAGTATGGGAATGTAGGCAAATGGATCCGGAGGGAACAGAGAAAGGAAGAAAAAAAGAGAGAGAGGAGAGGAAGAGAGAGAAAGATTAGTCATGTTTTATTATAAATACTCCCTCCCCTCCCCCCTTCTCCCCATTGCGCCTCTCTCCACCGGCCAAGAAGCCGGTTGAGCAAGTTTTATCTTGTCTACAATTATGCTTTTAGGAGAACTAGCCTTTCTTGTTATCGATCATTTATTTTTTTTCGCAGAGGATCGACCTCGGATGGTATTAGCTTTTGATTTGTTTTTTACACGGCACTTATTACATCGTTTACATGTTCGAGCATGCTAAACATGTGGATACGAACGCATAGAGAAATATTCTCAGATAATGTAAGAAACTAGGACAC